ATAACAGATGACAAGATAACTAGTGCTAAAAAATGCGGGCTGAAAGTGACTGTTAACATTTGACCAAGTCAACAGGCAAAACTGTGATGAACCACATTGGAAAAGGAAGGTGGAAAGCTTGCTTTGGGCTGGCGGTGATAATGATCATAACAGATAAATTTGGCTTTTAGTCACTCTTTCCTGAAAAGGCCTTTTGTGGGTTTTGTAACTTTTATAAAGAAGAGTTGATACACATTCAGTTTAAGTTAACTTTTGTTAACTTAAAGACACTTTAAAACAGTCTACACAAGACGAGTGGCTTCAATAAGTGATGCTTCTACCTAATCCTTAAATGTGCAGTGAAGTGATGAGCTTTCATTAATTTGAATTGCCAATTCTTAAACAATTATGTGTAGAGATAACAGTACCTGATTTTTAGAACTTTTCTTATTGCTCCTTTTTGGTTATAGTTTCATTGCAGTCTCTCTTTCTTTGCCTTTCTCTGTGCAGAAGCCTCCCATTAGCCAGGAAGGGTGCTGTGTCCAGTGCTCTCTACATGGCCTGGCTGGAGGCATTGTCCAAGGATCTGCCTCCCATCCTTCTGGTGCGTGGCAACCACCAGAGTGTCCTCACCTTCTACTCTTAAAGGGGAAAAGCCGGTGATTTAAGTCACAGCTAAAGTCTAAAGGTCCACCACATACACTCCTGAGATAGCAGAATACAAGCCAGTGATGGAAACAGTGCTGAGTAATATGAATCCAATGAAAGTGCTATTTTTTTTGTGTAAAAGTGCTACGTGTTTTGTGATGGAGGAATTTTATGTTGGGGTGGGTGCTGGTTGTAAAGTTGCCCACTCTTTTTCCTTTCTTTCTTTTTATTCCAAGATGTCTGGGTTATTCTCTCGTTGCTCTAGTTCCTTCTGATTTCCTCATTAAAGTGTCATTTTTGTTCAAGTTGATTTCTCTCAGGCTCTATAAAGCAGGCATGCACAATATAGATGTGTTCATGATGTGGAATATATTGATGTCATACACTTTAAGTTTATCAGACCAGATGTTGTTTGCTCCAGCAATAATCACCCTGTTATGTTTTTTTTCCAAGTTGGGGAAAATGCTTTGCAACACCTTCTAAAGCCTTATGGATGTGCCTTCCAGTCGAATCGGATGAAACGGAATTAGAATCTCTATTCAGATTGACAATTTTAACAGAATTTCCTTCTTAGCTGTGCGGGTGGATTTAAAGTAGAATTTTATAAAGGGTGTCAATTTGAACACTCTTACAGTTTTGACCTTAATCACCAATATTTATTTGGGGCTTTGATTTTTATATTTTTCACTTTTGAGTCTTCCTTTGTAGAAGTTGCTGAATACTCATCACAACAAGATCCTTGATCTTTTAGACACAGTTTGTAGGGGAGGGGTGGATGTGGGCATAGACTTAAAGTCTCTGTCAGAAAAAATGTGAGGCTGGGTTTTTCTTTAGCCTTTTCAGGTGGATAAAATCTCTCCCTAGTAGCTGCCGATTATCAGCTTTCTTTGGTTCTGTGGCCACATGTATTGTTGTTTCGCTGTAAAGAAACTCTTCTACCCTTCAAGATGCTAGTCCAAACCTTGCCTTAATGCTAGAACTATACTATACTGTCACGATTGTCATAAGTTCTCGCTCCCTCTTAAGCCATGTTGGCTGAAGGGTTTGTGTGTAAATGCAGATATTCATCCATTATTAAGTCTCAGCGCATATGCATCTTAATCTGCATTAGTCATTTAGCCTCACTTCATTTAGTGTGCACTTGTGGCACATCCCTGTCTTTTAGCTTAATTATTACTATTGATTTTAGGGGTGACGTGGCATCACAAAAAAAAGCCATACATAGACATTTTCCAGTTGTAGTGTACTGTAGAGGTCACATGTATCCCCTGTTCTACTGTGACTGTAGAGAATATTGATTAACTAGCTTTAGTATGCAATAGTACAGCTGTTACTTTGGGGAGTGGTCACAGGTGTCGTCACAGAGAAAAATAACCCCGAGCCTAAAATCAATTCATAAAACTCATTGCATTTGAGTTTTGTGGGGAAAATGGACAGTAAAGTGAAAGTAACCCGTTAGCTTTTGTTAAGATTGCAAATGTTGTTATTAAAACAGCTGAGCGTAAACGGGTTGGTTGGAGTGGTTCTAGCATAGATGATTATTTTAAGTGCATTGCCCTAAAATTAGTCATGATATTTTGAAGCCTCTGCATTGTGTTGTTAAATACAGCAGAGATGCACAAGTCATTGTGGGTGGTCTCGTTATTTTGAATTAAACAGCATGGACTTTGGCTCATTATGATTATGGGTGAGAAACTACTATGAAGCAAATGAAACTTTACTATATGCAATTTAAAAGAAGAATGTGAGAGTGCTTAGGTTAGTTGAATGTACACTACACTAGTAGTACCTTTTGGTTTCCATTGTCATATGTATCATATGTTTCCTGCATATACTGCAGTTAGCACAATAGTGTTCTCTCTGTCGGCTTCATTGTGCTATTAGCGTTCATGCAGCACCATTGCCCACCACTCTGTTGTTCACATGGATTATCACTACGTTAATAATCCATGTGTGTAATGTTTGCAGGGACTGTTGATAGGATTCAGTACAAACATATTATATAGATCTATACTCTTACTCACCAGAGTGCTAAATGTAGCCGGAATAAGTTTTAGTTATGTTGAAAGTGTGGGCTTGGAAAGCACTGTTAGATCATTTCGAAGGCAGTCCTACATTGTGTAACAGCCTCAAATACCAAAATTCGTCCACACCACAGCTGGTGTTCATTCTAATCCAGCTGACGCTGCTTTTCAAAATAAAAGACAAAATGTATCTAAAATTTGGTGTTCCTGCAGCTGAGTGCATCCCTGTGCACTGTAACTTAAACAGTGAAACTAAATTATGCTTAACTCAAACTATGAAGTATGACTGAATATTTCTGTATTAGAGCAAATGTAAATGAATTTCTTGAAGACTAACTGCTAAGCAATACAATTAGTGAAACAAACTGCAGTTTTTGTTTTGTTTTGGTCTTTTTTTGTTTGTTTTTTGCTGTGCATTTTGGGCAATATAAATCTGAGATTATCAATGTGGGCTGAGATGGGGATTTGGGGGCACTATTGTGTACTATAACAAAATAAAGGAGTGTATCTTTCAGATCTCTGTTCGTTGTTGTGTTGTGAGGCATTCACTCTTGTTCTCTTGTTGGTACAGAACAACATTATTACAAACAAGAACACGGGTTAAACCATTTGTATATTTAAAAAAAAAATATTTGCTTATCTATCTATCTATATCTGTATCTATCTGTAATTATACACACACAGTTATATACATACATACATAATATAAAAAAACACAACACTCATGTATCAATTAGAGGGGTTCTTTTTCATGTCACATTAAACGAAACAAAAATACCTCCTATCAACGTTTTCCAGCCAGCTAATGGTGTTTGGGTGTTTCCCTCATTTGTCTCGATAGAGCCTAACATCTGTCTGACAAAATTACTGCATTGTCCTCAACAAATCGAATCATATGTACGTGTAAGTCGAGGCATTATTTGAGTTCTCCTAATCATTGTTTGTATTCTTTGCCATATTCCCTGTTCCTCCTATAGCAGGCATGTTGTTCCATGAGGGTGGATTCTAATATTTCAAAAATGATAAAATGGTCCTAAAATCTATTGGTGGTTGACATCACCAAGTTTATAGTAAGTATAAACTAACATGTAAATAAACTTAATAGTATGTACACATGGAACATGTTGGAAGGGTATTTATTTTAGTTCAGACTTTTTTTTTTTTTTTGTCTTTTAATACTTGGGAGTTTTGGTTGTAATTTGATTTGCATGTCAATGGTTTTTATTTTCTTTTGCAGTTTGTTTCCTTTTGATTTTAGCAAATTGTCTTTCTCCTTGAGTCTGTATCTGTAGCCTTTCAATGAAGAAAAAGATATGATGACAAGCGGCTCAAACCAGTTTTCTCCTGCTTTAACTCAAACGTGTAAGGCCCAGCTGGTTGAAGCAGGAATGTTTTGATACTGTTAACAGTCACAGATATGCTTTTTCTAACATTTTAACATGTATGATTACCAGTACTTTGTACATCTTTATTGCAATAAATAAACCAAATGAAACCATTAACATCTGTAGTCTGCATTTGTGGTTTGCAAGGCTTCTATTTAATTCAGTTTTATGTATTGTTTACTGAATTTTGCATAATGGATAAAACTCCTAGAGTGTTAAAGTGAATCAGCGATCTGATCTGAGGAAGAAATCTCCTTTGGGGGGGGGGGGACTATTTTAGGTTTATTTGCTGTTGGGGGTTAATGGAGGTCTAATACTGTGTTACAGCAGACAACAAATTATAGGAAAAACTCTGCACAACTAAATCAATGACAGCTAGTGGATTTGTTTTGTTTTTTTGGTAGAGAAATGTATAATAAACCCTCAGCACACTGTCCCGCTTATCGCTATTTTAATCAGTTACAGCGTTTTGGTCCATGTAACTTGCATAATGTAATATAAAAAATTTAATGTATAAAATAATAACACTAAAGAAAGTGAAAATACAAAACCATGAAGAGAGCAATAAATTAAAAAAATAGTTTTAAGATCCTTATTGTATTTATCGTAAAAGCTCTGTGGTATAAGATGGATGGGGCAACAGAGCTCAAACACCTGTTGGTCAGGATTTGATAATTATCATTTCAACACAGGGCATAAAGCCAACTATTTAACCCAAACAAATGTGTTCCCTGCACTTTGGGAAGAAAAATACAAAACGTTTGTCTTCTGCACCTTAAAGAAAGATAACACTTTGAGATGAAGAGTTGAAAAGCATTTATAGATTGAAATGTACAAGTACGCAGTTACATCTGTGGCTGGGCATCTTTATAAGTGCAGCCTCACTCTTTATATCAGTCTACTGCACCACATAAAGACAAAGTTAAATTTCAAGGGCAAATATTAATTATTTTCCTACATCATATCTTTTCTTCCTGGGCTTTCACAGTTTTTAAATAACACATTTATTAGATCACCAGCCAGTATAAATATAATCCTGCTGCTGCCCTAAATTAACATGATTAGTACTTACCAAAATATTTTATGTTTTTGTAATCACTATATAGCAAGATAATGGACCCTACAGTATTAGAAATCGGCATTTGTGGGAAGGAGGAACTCACTGTAAACAGGAAGAGACCTCCAGCAGATCCAGGCAAACCTTCACAAAACTGTGTGTTTTAGTGCATTTCAACTAATTTAAAAATTATATTTCAGCAAATACTTGACAGTTAATTAGAGAATGTGCTTTGAATTCACGACCCCCACAGATTGTAGCCAAAACATGTCCATTATGGATATGAAGCCATTAGGGTGAAAGTCAGATGTTTTTGTGGAGAACCACAGCTACTGCAACAAAAAGAAGAAGTACACAAACAATCACAATGATTGAAGAGATAATTTTACAGAGTCTTCTTCTGCGCTCTGCTTCTTTCCTCTTCAGTAAAGAATCAAATCCCGGTGTGTAGAGATCCTCGAGCCAGAAATCCAGATCTTTAGGAGTCTTGTCCTCTTCCTACAAAGAAAACAAAGATGTGAAACAGTGTATGAAAAAGTGCACCAAGATTCTTGTTGTTAGACATAAATATGTGTTTGTAACATATCTGCTCCCTTTAGCAGACACAGGCTGCTTGAAAGAAAGCAACAAAAGAATGGGAATCTCATGTAGTCAATGGGCATCTGTTGGCAGAAAAGAATGGTGCATATTTATTTATTTTTTTTAATGCACAGGAAATGTTCTTCCTGTGTACATACAAAGGCAGGCTAATGCCTGGCTAATGAGGCTGACCTCTAAAGTTTAAGGCTTACCACCCAAAAAGACTGGCTGCTGCACCGTCAAAGAATAGTGGCACATAACATGTGCTGCACAGGCCGAGGGACGGAGAGCTAACTGTTGCATTAACCTGCATTAACATTTGCCACAATCGCAAGAGTAGCGTACCACTGGTCACTTTTGAATCTTAGGATTTCTGGCAACCTGGACTACAGAAATAGAAAGGCAAATCATTTCTATGTTGCATCTTTACACACAACAACACAAACAGCAGCAAAGTAAGCTAAATAATGACTCCTAAATTGAAGATTTGTGGTTGTTGAACGCCATAATTTGATGGTTACACATCAACTAAAAGTGTGCTGATGCATTTTGTTCAGAAATATACGTAACCACTGCAAATCATAGTGTTCTCCCAGAAGTGTTCCTTCCCCTAAACATGTTTATTTACTGAAATTGAAACAAAAAAGTTTTAAGTCAACACTTGATGACGGCATTTTTTTATTTTCCTTAATATTTAAAGTGCAGCTGGTAAGCTATAAGTTTTGGGGGCACAAGTACTGTAGTAGTGACTTAGCAAATATTGACTCAGGGGTGAAGGCACACTAATGCTAGCAAGACAGGAATACTTTTAGTCCTTCAGTGGTCAGAAAAACTAGTGAAGAGAAATATATCACATTATGTTACAATATAAAAATAATCAAAGCCACCTAAAAGTGTAAGTATTAAACCATCACAGACATCATCTGGAAAGAAGCTCCAAGGGTTAAATGGTATAAATAAAAACTGGTATTTACACCAAAACGTGGGGATTTTATTGAATGAAGGACTTTTTGATGAGATCCAAAGAGAGTATATTTGGAAATCAACAACTGCAAATATGCAAAAATGCATACTTGTGGGAAAATGAATAAAACTGTTTAGATGGCAATCATCATATTAGAAGACCTTAGTCAGTGATTTTTGCTCAGCAATTGAGCCCTAAGCATTCACTTGCTCATATCTTCTTTATTTCTTTTGGTTCTTTAGTGTGCCTATACAATATATAAAATAAGTATTGAACATATCACCAATTTTGTAAGTAAATATATTTCTAAAGGTGTTATTGACAATACATTCTCACTAAATGTCAAAGAAATCACATGCAAAGAAATCAAACCATAGATTTCCATAAATAAAGTGGAATAGTAATCAAAGCACTTAACACAACTTGCTCCATTCGTCCAAGCACTTTTTTGCAATTCTGTTTCTATCTAACATCCTATAGATGCATTAGAGAGCATCTTTCCCAAGAATATTTGTTATGCAGACTGAAGCAGCCAGGGATCAAAACGCCAACCTTCCAATTAGCAGATGACCTGCTCTACCTCCTGAGCTACAGCCACTCCAGTAGTGAGAAGCATCAAGAAACATCTCATGATGGGTAAAACCAACAAGCCTGTTTAGACCATTGGAATCTTACTGTTGCAAAACATACTGATGGCATTAGTTAGAGAAGTATTTCTAAGCTAATGAAGGTTCCAGTGAGCACTGCTGGGGCCATAATCCAGAATCATGTCAACATAAACCAACAACAACCAAGCGCTTCTCATTAGATTTTAACTCAGACTCTAATTAACAGAAGAGTTGTCCAAGAGCCAACGCCCACTGGTGGAGAGCTACAGAAAGACCTGGAATCAGCAGGTACAATTGTTTTAAAGAAAACAATAAGTAATAATTTACTTAACTGCCATGGCCTGTATGCACACTCACTACGCAAGACTCCACTGCTGAAGAATGCATGAGACTAGTTTCTCCATACAGAAAACATCTTGAAGACGCCATCACCAAAAGAGGCTCTTACACGAAGTATTAAATTAATTTCAGGTATCTTGTTCGATACTTTTTCCCTGTGTTACTTCTCATTATTACACATAACTTTATGGACAACTGTTTAATTTCTTTGCATTTCTGGATTGGATGGGTTCTTACCATGACAATTTATGTCAAAATCCTTTTTAGAAATATATTTGCTTATAAAATTGGTGACATATTTAATACTTATTTTACCCGCTGTATATGCATATGCATATATATATATACATGCACAGTTCTTTGTTTACATATATGCATGTCCTCCTAGCAAACAACTGCACTAACAACTGTTTTGTGTATCCAAACAAACATTAACCTTGTTAATCTTCCACAACCTTTTTACTTTTCCACAAATTACCTGTAAATATTCTGCAAGATTGCTATGGTTTGCTTGAGTGTCATAGTCCTTGACAGTCCAGGAAGGGTGTGATGTCTCATTCTGCTCAATCACTGATTTTACATCCATGTACAGAGGGTTCTGTCTGATGTTGGTCTTCAGAGTGGATGGAGTGATGTGCTTCTCCAGGTATCTGTCCACAAACACCACAGGACTCCAGTCTGGGTGTGGCACAGAACTGCTTTTGGTTGTTACCCTTGGCTCCCTCTGTGGAGACAGAGAAGAATTCTCAATCCATCCAGCTTTAACATTTTCTACGGAGCTGTAGGCTACACTGGTTAGATAGCCTAAACCAGGGAGTCATGTAATTAAAGGCTTTCTTTTTCAGAGGAGCCATCCACAGTGAGGAAGTAAAATTATTAACAAGATTAAAAAAAAAAAAAAAAAAAAAGCAGTCCCAGGTGTGTTAAACATACCACCAAAACTCATGCATGCTCAACATGGAGCTGTTTGTTGTCTTTCGAATTCAAAGTCAAAGTCAGCTTTATTGTCAAAAAGCTCCACTGCAAATTTAAAGAGCTAAAAACAAAAGACATTTGTACTATAATGTTATAACTCAATGTTTGTTCATGTTTTTGGTGTCTTGTAAGCCAAGTGTGACACAACAATGCTGTGCTCTCCTGCTCTGCTATTTCAAACTACTGTCACAAAGATCATACCTGAGAGTAAATCCTGTTCTGCCATTGTTTCTGACTGGACATTACTGCCCCAACCTGGAACATGCTGTGTGTGGCTGGCAGCATCCCAACGTCTAGCTGGAGGAATTTCTCAGGGTGGTTATTGTTGGGCAAAGCAGAAATATCCATCCTGATTCTGCTGCTCCATCCACGCTGACCACTTCACTTGCCAACTACCTGGCTAATTCCACATACTCCCTACGTCTCACAGGCTCTGCAATAATAATTTATGAAGAGTGTGATATCTGAGGCTGTATCACTTGTGTAATGTGTGTAACCCAACCTGGCCAAAGGGTGGGGTGAAGGTGTGGGTTTGAGAGGGAGAGAGAGAGAGAGAGAGAGAGAGAGACCTAGTATCTGTGTCTGTGTAAAATGTCATCTGAGTAAGCAAGTAAATAAGTATGTGTTTATTTCATTTAGAAAGTTTAAGTTTATTTAATAACTTGAAATACTTCTCACATGTAAGGTCTTCAATAATCAGGCCCCCGTCTTATCTTAAAGACGTGATAGTACCGTAAAATGTGGGAGCTTGTAGAATAAAAAGTGAGAATGTGGAGAAAATTGTTGGTATTTTGAAATTTTCATCTGTAAAATATTTTCACACTCTTGAAATAAAATTTTCTGTCACCACAGTAAATCTAAAATTAAAGTATCAATTGAGTCATCTAATTGTTGAAGTTTCGCAATAATATTGTAGGGTCTTTACCTTAAAATATTAGGGGCCTTGTGCTGACTGTTGTTGTGATTAGGCACTATATAAATAAAATTGAATTAAATTGAATATTGAGTTCAATTCCACCATTGGATCGGGGTCTTTCTGTGTGGAGTTTGCATGTTCTCCCCATGTTTGCGTGGGTTCTCCAGTTTTCTCCCACAGTCCAAAGATGTGCAGTTAGTGGGGATAGGTTAATCGGAAACTCTAAATTGCCCATAGGTGTGAATGTGGGAGTGCATTTGAGTGTGAATGGTTGTCTGTGCATATGTGTTAGCAACAGACTGGCGACCTGTCCAGGGTGTACCCTGCCTCTCGTCCTAAGACAGCTGGGAAAGGCTCCAGCACCCCCCGCGACCCTGAAAAAGGATAAGCAGAAGCAAATGGATGATTAATCCATGTAGTAACTAGTTGTATTTTGTATAACTAAAGTAATAAAAAAAATAGAGTACTATTTTTGCCATATTTTTTGAGTACTATTGAGTACTATTTTTGTGTTTATAAATTAAAATGAAAGTACCTCAAGATTCAAACAAGTCTCAGCTATCTTCAGAAAAATGACACAAGTTTGTAAGATGGGTTGTCATTAGCATAGCTTAGGAGGTAGTATGGGTCATCTACTAATCGCAAAGGTGATGGCTCATTCCTGGCTGCTTCAGTTTGCATGCTAAATAGATAGGATACTAACCCTAATTTTTTCTCTGATTCATCTATTGGAATGTGAATGCGTCTGAATTTCAAATAGAAAGTACTTAAGGATGAAAATAATGCTTGTGTGTATGGGTGAAGGAGCCATGTTGTATTGAGTGCACCAGGAGAACAGAAAAGCTTATCCGGGGCTGGGTCGTGGGGGCAGCAGCCTAAGCAGAGAAGCCCAGACCTCCTTCTCCCTGGCCACCTCCTCCAGCTTGTCCTGGGGAACACCAAGGCGTTCCCAGGCCAGCTGAGAGATATTGCGGGTCCTAGGTCTGCCCCATGCCCGGAACACCTCGCCCAGGAGGCGTCCTTGTCAGATGCCCGAACCACCTAAACTGGCTCCTTTTGATGTGGAAGAGCAGCAGCTCTACTTTGAGCCCCTCCCAAATTCATCACCCTATCTCTAAGGGAGAAGCCAGCCACCCTTTGGAGGAAGCTCATTTCCGTCACTTGCAATCTCGTTCTTTCTGTCACTACCCACAGCTCATGACTATAGGTGAGGTTAGGAACGTAGATTGACTGGTAAATTGAGTGCTTCGTTTTTACACTCTTTACCATGATGGACCGGTACAGCGTACGCATCACTGCAGCCACAGCACCAATCCATCTGTCGATCTCCTGATCCCTTCTCCCATCACTCGTGAACAAGACCCTCAATACTTAAACTCCTCCACTGGGGGCAGGAACTTTTCCCTGACACAGAGTGGGTACTCCACCATTTTCCGGCTGAGGACCATGGCCTCAGATTCGCTGGAGGCTGTCGCCTGATTAAGCCAACAGAACTCATCTGCGAAAAGCAGAGATGAGATTCTGAAAACACCCAAGTATAAGTCTTCCGCCAATTGGCTACACCTAGAAATTCTGTCCATAAAAATTATGAACAGAATCGGTGTGTGGCAAGGATGATGCATGACGTGTCCAGAGGTTTGATTTGAGAGCCAACTTTATTCACACAGTCCGACTGCAGCTCTTGGCTGCAGGCCGCACAGACTCCTTGCCACCACACACACCAACAACCCTGAATCCCCGTGTCTTTAACTCGGCAGGCGTGATTGCGGATGCCATGTAGGTGCGTCTGCATGGCACCGCAGACCACGCCCCACCACACGGTGACAAGTCCAGAAACAAGTCCAGACAAAGCTCTTGCAACAGTGATATAAGGATTGAATGGCCCATAGCAATGGACCAGACACCAAATACTCCTGAAGCACCTCGCACCCCCCACTCTGACATGGTCGAATGCCTTCTCCAAGTCCACAAAACACATGTAGACTGGTTGGGCAAACTCCCATGCACCCTCAACTATCCTCGAGAGGGTAAGGAGCTGGTCGATTGTTCCACAATCAGGGTGAAAACTGCATTGTTCCTACTAACAACTAACAGACGGACTCTCCTTTCCAGCACCCTGGCATAGACTTTCCAAGGGAGGCTGAGTCCTTCCTGTGATAGTTGGAACACACCCTCCAGTCCCCCTTCTTAAAGATGGGAACCACCACCCCGGTCTGCCAATTCAAAGGTACTGTAACTGATCTCCATGCAACATTGTAGAGGTGTGTCAACCAAAACAGCACTACATCATCCAGAACCTTCAGGAACTCAGGGTGAAACTCATCCACCCCAGTGGCCCTGCCACCAAGGAGTTGTTTAATTGCCTCTTCTTTAACTCATATTGCTCCAGCAATGTTGAACTTGTCTGTCACTCCGGGTGAGACCCAGGTCACAGGCTTGTAACTCCTACTTAACTCAATTACGGTACTGCCCAACAAGGAGATGGCAAACTGGAGAAATGGAGGACTTCGGCCTATTATTTCCTCTATGGCATTTAGCCCAACTGACATGGTCTTTAATGTGAGACTTGAACATGCGAGAAAGGAATTCACATACTCTACCCAATTCCAAAAGCAAGACTGAACATACCGCTCATGAAAATACACTTTCAGCTTCACCTACCCCTGATGTCATCTGAGTCTGTGGCTACACCAGTGTCTGTCCATGGTGGGTTGTCTGAACATACCTCTGTGGTGAGTGAAATTCACTTTTCTCTTTATGCTTGCTCAGAGCCAGCAAACCAGAAAACAAAGAGTTTTGTTTTCAGCACCAAAAGTTTAGAAACTGATTCTTTTGTTCCTGAGTCAGCCAGAACTAAAGTTTTCTGTTTTTCTTATAAACTGGCCCACAATAACTTTATGTTTTCAGTGTGTGTGAGTGTGTTTGCAAATGAAAGTTTTGTGTTTCGCAAATGAAACATTGCCAGGTCTGGATCTATGTTGTTAATGAAAGCGTTTTTTAGTGTTGTCTGTCTGAGCCGGCCTCTTAGTTTTCCACACTGACCAGTAGAAGAAAGACAATTGATGTGTCCGAAATCAGGGGAAGGATGCTCCGAAGGACACTACCTACCATTCGGACTCAATGTCCCCAGTCTCCCTCGGAATGCTGTTGAAGCTCTGCCGGAGGTGTGC